TTATTATTAAAAATGTTAAATTAAATTTATTTATCATATTTTTCAAGTGGTCACTTTTTTTTGATCAATACTGTATAATAGAATTTTATACACAAAATTAAAACATGGTTTTTATGATTTTAATCAATAAATAAAATGAAATTAGCGTTTTTTAATTAAAACTACTCTTTTTGATAAAATATTTAATATTAATATGTTTTAAATAACTAATGAATGTATAAAGATATTCAAAATTATTAATAATTAGTTTAATTCTTTATTGTACTTGTCGAATTCTTTTAATAAAGATCTTCTATTTCTAGATAAAAATACATAAACCTTTCTGTCTTTATCTGTTTTCGGAAATATCCAATATTTATTAATAAATATCAAAAAATCAGATCCAAGTCTTCTTAAATTATTCTTAAATTCTTCTATACAATAAACATTTTTCTTATTGATTATTTTATAATTATCTATATACTTACTGAAAAAAAATATTGTTGTCATATTTTCAATAAAATAATTTTCTTTAAACGTATCTATATAATTTCTTAAATCGTCTGTTTCTCTATTAAATAATTTTACCAAATTATTGAATTCAATTTTTAAATTCTTTTCATTGTTCTTAACCGAATTTAAAGATTGTTTAAGTTGATTATAAAAAAGTGTAAATCTCATCAAATTATTTAAACTGTAAATAAAACTGTTAACGTTATCTAAATTATATTTAAAAACACACAACCCATTTTTATATACAAGTTTTCCAATTATTTTAAACAAGGAACATTCATAAAAACTCATTTTTTGAATTTTATTTGAAGTTAAAAATGGATCTAAATTCTTCATTTTTTCCTTATAAAATTTATCTGCGTAATAATTATTTTTAAAAATACACGAATATTCTTTGCTTGGTAATATAATAATATCTTTTTCCTCACCATAAATAATCTTGTAAATGATGTTCCAATCATTCATATCATAATCATCACTAGTTAATTTAAAAATACAATCAGATAAAGTCTTAATATCTTCCATTTTGATACCTTTAAAATAACTAACTTCATTTAACATTTCTTCATATATTTTTATATATCTTTTTTTAAAATGTAAATTTTTAAATAATTTAGTACGCTTATGACTTTCAGAAGATTGATTTTCTTCTACAGTAGTAAGTTTTCTTTTATTAGAAATTCCTTCATTATTTTCAGATACACTTTGAAATAATACATCAGAATCATTATCTTTAAAGAAATCTATTGTTGCTATGGTTTCTTCATTAGGTTGTATATCGAGCAAGGTTATAGATACATCTGATATATATTCATCTGTACTTAAAACATTTAAATTAAATGAGTGCCAAATTATTTTAATGGATTTTTTAAAAAATATTTAAAAGGAAATAAG